TAAAGAGGCAGTGCCATGGTTAAGCGCCAGCCCTCAAACTCAGAAGCTGCTACTGCTGGGAGACTCACCAGGGTGGATGCTAATCCTACCCTTGGCCAACTGTCCTTATAGAATTAGTTATGGTTGTTCTTTTCCATGGAAGTGTTCAGGTTGGCTACATAACAATTTACCTCTGCACTTACAGTGCCTCAGATACAGTCTAGGAGAAAGCCTACCAAAGTGTATCTGTGTATCTTATTTTTGAGAAACTCAAATGAGTCTGGTGAATAAACACCTAAAGGGAATTTTATAGCTTTTTCACCTAAAAGTTGTGTTTTTTTCAGGCTTTTATTGCATTTTCTTTCCTATTTGCCCCACCCCCAACTTAACAGTGATAGTTCCATGTAAATGCTACTTAGTTTTGCTTGCTGATTTTGCTGTGTGTTTATGTGCTTTTTGCCATATTTCTGTGCTTGGAAGAGGACATACCTTGTTTTTGTTCCAGCAGACATCAGAGCCTCCAGAACTCTTTTGCCACAGAATTCGTCTGGAATTCAGCCAGTGTGTGTGTCACCAGTGACATGTCGTTGAATGTGATGCCCTGTTGAACATTGACACCTTAACTTTTCTGATCTTTAAGTCACTGTTTGCTGTTTTGCCTGTGAGAGTGAGAAGTCTTAGTCTAAATTTGCACAACTTGTTATATCTTTTCTTCTTATCACCTCAAGTCCTCTCTTCAAAAAGATAACTCAAAAGACCTTTTAGCTATTTTTCTAAGCCTTAGTTAGATGCCAGAAGAAGTTCTTGATCTTTTTAGTCTGATTTATTATCTGTCTGTCATGCCTGATTTGTAAATTGAGGCCTAACACAATTGATTATAACCAAATGCTTCCTACGTACATACAAGGTTCTCTGCTGGATATCCTGGAGGTGATAGGGAGGAATATGTGGTCCCTAAGGACCTCACATTTTTTCTGGAAAGACAAGATAAACATGAAAAAGTAACAGTGTAAAGTGAATGAAGATGGATAACGTGCTTTAGAATTCAGAGAAAGGAGAATATTGTACCACTGGTGTGGTCAAGGAAGGTGTGACAGATGAGGTGAGATTTAAATTGAGTTTTGAAGGATAGGTGGAATTCTTATTGATAATATAAAAGACTGAGATAGAAAAAGGAAGCCGGGTTTGAGGAAGAAGAGAGAGACATTTAGTAAGTAATTATTTTTTGTCCTTTTTTTTTTGGCAGCTGGCCAGTATGGGGATCCAAACCCTTGACATTGGTGTTGTCAGCACCACACTACCAACTGAGCTGTTTTTCTTTTAATTGACAGATAAAATTGTATGTATTTATGGTGTACAACATGGTGTTTTGATATTTGTATACATGGTGGAATGACTAAATCAAGCTATTTAGTATATGAGTGCATGACTTTACATAGTTATATTTTTGTGGTGAGAACACTGAAAATGTTCTGTTTTAAGGAATATCGTATATTTGAAAATTGCTTTTAACTGTAGTCACCATAATGTACAGTAGTAAATCATTGTTGTTATGCATTTTTAGGAAAAGGTACAGTGAGGTCAGGGTTATAATTTCGATTAGTATATGAGCCAGTGAGTTTCGCCTTGTTTCATGGTCATTTCTATATCCTTAATTCCAGTTATCTTGAAAACATTGGTTGTAAGAATGACCAGTTCAGTAAGTGGCTGGTCTGGTACAAATTTGTCTCTGCTACTGAAAAACCAGCTCAAACATTGGTAAGTCAGTAATATGATTTGTAATATAGTAATAAAGGACAGCATCAGAAAGTTTTTT